AAAAAAAATAAATAAATAAAATAAAAATAAATAAAAGGGATAAGAGTCTATTATTAAATGGAGCCTTGTTCCCAGGTGTAGGGAGCAGCCGTTGACAGTGTAAAGCCAACAGTTTTACAGTTGAAGGTCTCTGGTTATGACATGTGGTGTTTTGTTGAACTCTTTTTTTTTAAATTTTTTTATTGAGGATTCATTGAGCGTACAAGATGTGTCACACATTGTGACCCCACCCCTCCCTCCTTCCCTCTCTCTGCTCTTTCCCCCACCCCTCCCTCTTTCTCTCTCTCTTTGCTCTCCTCTTTCCCCACCGTGTCATTAATTGTCATCAAATCAAGATTGAATTCATAGGATTCATGCTTCTCCATTCTTGTGATGCTTTACTAAGAATAATGTATTCCACTCCCATCCAGGTTAATACAAATGCTGTGAAGTCTCCATTTTTTTAATGGCTGAATAATATTCCGTGGTATGCATGTACCACAGCTTGTTATCCTGGGTTGGGAGGCATTTAGGCTGTTTCCACATCTTGGCGATTGTAAATTGAGCTGCAATAAACAGTTTAGTACAAGTGTCCTTATGATAAAAGGTTTTTTTTTCCTTCTGGATAGATGCCCAATAATGGGATTGCAGGATCAAATGGGAGGTCTAGCTTGAGTTCTTTGAGGTTTCTTCATACTTCCTTCCAAAAAGGTTTTATTAGTTTATAGTCCCACCAGCAGTGTAAAAGTTTTGGTGAAGTCTTAATGTGACCCTACATTAGGCATGAAATTTGTCCCTTAAAATTTATTTAGCTTGAGCTCATAGGGCTTTAGGAACAGAGCATTTCCTGTTTTAGTAATCTGTGGAAGAAAGGTAATATTGGAGAAACCTAAAAGAATTTAGGATCCAGTCTAGCTTATAGATAGATAATAGAAACTCAGAAACAATGCACAGGGTTACTATCTAATAATGAGTATATTATACTCATTTAATTTTTACCCAAGATAACTAGAGTAAGACTACTTTGTTTATAAAAATAAATTTAGTCTCATCCATTTTGGTCTAATTATTTATATAATTACAGTGACAAAATCCATTGATTACATAGGAATCTCAGATTTAAAAACATCTTGAGACTAGAAGCCAAACCAAGGCAGACTTCAGACTTTATAGTACCTATAAACAAATATGACATTCCAATATTTCTAACTTTATCCTGTTATAAAGAGAGTGGATTCTTACTACCATAAAAAGTAAGAATATTCACAAACAGATTTGAATTTTGGAGGACTCAATTAGGGAGAAAAAAAAGTTTCTACCTTCATTCACAAAAGTATACTTTACCAAATTGTTTAAACTAAAGATAGCTTAAAAGAGAAAATCTAGAAAATCTTAAATCTGGAAAACAAAACATTTAAGTAAAGAATTAGCAGTATTTCACATAAAAACATCTTCATCAGTTATGTAATCCCATGTAATTAATTTTTGTTTTGCTTGATCTTGATTAGTAGTTTCAAAAACTTGTCAGTTTCTTCATTAGAGTTCTGGAAATTTTTTTTAGTCCATTGGTCTTAAAGTTATTAGACACTTGTATTAGAGAGTACTTGTTAAGTCTTTTCCATAAATCTGATTGTAGATGCCTTTAGAGAAAAATTAAAACAATAACTGTGGTTGACAAAGTTAAGCCAAGTAAGTCCTGGTTAAAACTTGATGAGAGTTCATAGTAGATTAGCAATTCTATGTTTGTGGCATACAACATAACTTGAATTATGATTGATGACATGTTATACTTTTAAGAATTTTATGTAATTCTGGAACATTAGTTATGTACCCATAAATGTAGCAGAAAGAAGATCTAGAATTCATTTATCATTTGACAAAGTTTCCTATACAATTTGACAACTCAAATCAGCTTAATTTAGTTCAACATCTCTCTTTTATAAACCTTTGAGAAGTTTCAAGCCCTTTGAACCATTCTAAAATTAGTTCAAGGTCAAAACCAATTTATTTATAAGTCCATCTTGGGGAAGGCCTGCCAAAGATGTCAAAAGGTTTAAAACACTTAATCAAAATAGAATCACATGTCATTGTGATGTAATAGTCATTCACTTAACCAAATTAATAATTAAACAATTCCAAAAACAATATAGAAAGTTAGGCCGGGCTCAGTGGCTCATGCCTTATAATCCTAGCACTCTGGGAGACTGAGGTGGGTGGTTTGCTTGAGCTCAGGAGTTCCAGACCAGCCTGAGCAAGAGTGAGACTCTGTTTCTAAAATTAGCTGAGCATTGTGGTGGGCACCTGTAGGCCCAGCTACTTTGGAGGCTAAGGCAAGAGGATTGCTTGAGCCCAGGAGTTTGAGGTTGCTGTGAACTGAGACTGCCATGGTACTCTACCAAGGGTGACAAAGTGAAACTCTGTCTCAAAAAAAAAGAAAAAGGGGGGGAGGATTTAATGAATGTTAAAACAAACAAAAAACCCTTAACCCTTTAAAGCTCAATCTTTGAAAGAACCTAAAAAAGACAACATGAAACACAGAATTATTTAAATAAAGTGTAAAATCCAGGCAAGAATGTATACTGACAATTCTAAGACTTTCCTACTTTTATTTTATCAACATATTTAAAATCAGCTTATTTATGAAAGCTTTACTGAGTCATATGAACTAAAAGGCATGTGTTAACCACACTATTTTGGTACAAAAATATCATATACACATAACATAGAAGCATAAAAATATGCAGGTGAACAAAAACAAATAACCTTCTTACCTAAAAGAAGACTTTACTATAGTTTTTAATTTAACAAATGTGGCTATTTTCCAGTAATCTCCAGTCTCCCTAATGCCAGCGTACTATTAAAATCCACTAATTCTTTCTTCAAATATTTCTTTTCCTTCTGAATAGTCACCAATGACATTGCCAATAGCAACTCTCTGGATTCCTGAATGAGACCGCTCTCTGCTTCTCCTTCATGCAGTCTCTCCAACTAATCTATCCTCTTTATCATTATCCAATTATCCTTCTCCTTGCATCTCATCTGTTAGACCATTCCTGTGCTCAAAGGCCTTTGGTGGCTTCTCAGAACCCACTGAATAATAAAGATCAGACATCTCTGCCAGATATTAAAAATCCTCCACAGTCCTGCCTTAATTAGCATGTCTTCAACCAGTTACCTTTATTTTAGCCTAGATACCTTTTCACTGTTCCCCATATATACCATGCTCACTTCTGCTTCTATATATTTTTGCCCATAGTATTATCCTTACTTTAAATTATTTTTCTAAACTTATCTAATTCTTTGCCTCCTGTAAGGCTCACCATAAGCCCATTTTTATCCATTCCAGGTCATAATGAGCTCTTGCTTGTCTGAATCCCTCTAGCTTTTTCTGACAATTAATTCTGTTCTTATTAGCCAATCACTTCAAATGTATATACATTTTCACCTTAACTAGATTATATGTAGGTGTTCTTGTTTTTTACATTTTTGTTTCCCATAGCAACCAACACTGAGTTTGTGCATAACAGACAATAAATACTTGTTGAATTAAATTTTCCTTATTGCTTCTTAACTTGGATGAAATCCCTGGCATTAGGAACTTAATGATGGGAAAGGGGAAAATTACAATAATAATTATGTAGTAACATGATTAACTGAATAGGTACTATATACATCCTACTGAATGTTTTCCTGCTTGTATTTATTTTAAAAATTCTTATGAAAAAGTTCAAGAAGTATTATTGTACATGTATATTTTCCTGCACATGCTATAAATAAATACATGTTTGAGAGTCCCAGCCTCATTGCATGGGAATACCAGTATCTTTGTATAGTTATTTAAATTTAAAACATATTTTTATCACTTAGTCTTTACAACAGTCCTATGAGGTATATGTTATTATACCCATTTTAAAGATTAGTGAAATCAAAGTGTCAACTGGGCAGAAGATAAAATAATAAAATAATTAGAATACTAAGGCTTGGGAAAATTAGATTATCTAAAGTCTCATAGCTAATAAGAGATAGAAGAAAAACCCAATTCTTCCTACCCCAAGTCAGTTCTTCCCTCTAAACAAGACTTCTGAACTTAGACTTCAACTTAGAAGCCTCTGGGGAACTGTACCATTATATTAGAATCTCTAACGTGGGACTGTTTATTATTTTTTAAAACTCCCAGATGATTCCAATGTGCATTCAAGACAGAACCATAGCTTTGTCTATAGCAATATTTCTTTTTCTTTCTTGCTTTTTTTTTTTTTTTTTAGAGACAGAGTCTTACTTTGTCGCCCTTGATAAAGTGCTGTGGCATCACAGCTCACAGCAACCTCAAACTCCTGGGCTTAGACGATTGTCTTGCCTCAGCCACCTGAGTAGCTGGAACTACAGGCATCCACCACAACGCCCAGCTATTTTTTGTTGCAGTTTGGCTGGGGCCGAGTTTGAACCCGCCACCCTCGGTATATGGGGCCAGCGCCCTACCCATTGAGCCACAGGTGCCACCCTACAGCAATATTTCTTAATCCTGACTAAGAATCAGGATCTAGACAGTCAGCTTAAGGCACTGCCTAAGCTCCCCCTCTACACCAGTTAAATTAGAATCTCTAGAGGGTAAAATCTGGGCATGGATATTTTCTAAAAGTTCCCCTAGGTTATTCTAATGTGCAACCAAAGTAGAGAGTCATTGCTTAAAGTTTAAAAAATAGTTGCCTCTAAGGCTAAAGGATGATTTTTAGATAATAATTGTTATTCTAGGATATAAATATATATACATACACACATATATAGTGTCTCATGACCATACCATTTCTTTGAATTTTCTACTCTCTGCAATTCTAAGTGAATTGGCCCACCAGGATTCTTGCCAAATTCTGAATTAAAAGTGGTGTTGTCTGTATAGTTACCATATAACAAAGGATTTGCTGCATGTACAGTAGAGAGCTTATGAAAGTATTCTAGAAAATGTCATAAAGAAGTTGAATTTTGCATGTGTTCACTGGATTTTTCAAATTTATTCTGTTTAGAACCTTCAGGATTTGTAAATCTGACTTCATTTTCTCTTCATGTCTTGAGCAAAATAAAAATCTTCTACTATTCTATGTTGTTGCTGACCCTCTATACAGTGCTGGGTAAGTAAATTAGTAAACTTGAGATTGTGGAGAATTCTGCCAAATAATATACTGAGAATTTTGACAATAGAATAATTTAGACTCTTGAAGTTGTAACAAATGGCACAAGGGCCTTCATAAATCATTTATGGGTTTTGGGAAGTAAAGTTCTTACATGTTTAAAGAGCATTTAGTTAACACCATGTTAACGTTAGAGTGCTGAGAATACCATTAAGACTGCCACACCTGGTGTGGCACCTGTGGCTCAGTGGCTAGGGCACCGGCCACATACACCGGCACTGTAGGGTTCAAATCCAGCCCAGACCTGCCAAACAACAATGACAACTACAACCAAAAAATAGCCAGGCATTGTAGCGGGCACCTGTAGTCCCAGCTACTTGGGAGGCTGAGGCAAGAGAATCTCATAAGCCCAAGAGTCTGAGGATGCTGTGAGCTGTGATGCCACGGCATTCTACCCAGGGCAACAGCTTGAGACTCTGTCTCAAAAAAAAGACTGCCATACCAGAAAATATTTTTCCTGTTGGGGCCGTGGTGTTTTATTAGGTCAAGCTAGATCAAGAGACTTATGAGTTATATATGCTTCATGAGGCTTTGGCCTCAAAACTAGCATATAACTCATATGGCAGTGAGAGTTATAATACATATAACTCATATGGCAGTTAATGTGTTAAAGAATTAGTATTTGTGTAGAAATCTAATAGAAGTTCAGCTTAAATACCACCTGTTTAGAGTAATCTTTGACTACCTTAAAGTTTTATTTCATCACATTTTCTATTTCCATCATTACCTTTATCAGAATTTATGATTATCTTCTGTGTTTATTATCGGTTTCTTTGTTAAAATATCCATTGTTAGCCAGGTGAGGTGGCACATACCTGTATATGAGGGATTGAGGCTGGAGGATTGCTGGGCAACATAGCAGGACTCCTGTCTCAGAAAAAAAAAAATCCATTGGTGTTTTGTCTGTCTCATTCATCTCTATGTCTAACACTAAACACAAAGCTGAGTATAATAGTTGATTGAATATTTACTAAGGTGTGACTCTTAAAAACTCAGCTCAAAAAAAAAAAAAGAAACTGAGGTGAACAATAAGTTCAGGTGTATCTTAACTCTTCTGTTGTATTAATTATTATACATGGTACCCAGAACAATTATGTGCCACAGGCTCAGCACCTGTAGCTCAGTGAGTAGGGCACTGGCCACATACACCAAGGCCAGTGGGTTCAAGCCTGGCCTGGGCCTGCTAAAAAAACAACAATGACAATTGCAACCAAAAAAAAAAAAAAAGCTGGGCATTGTGGCAGGCGCCTGTACTCCTAGCTATTCGGGAGGCTGAGGCAAGAGAATT